GAGGCCGGGCCCCCAGCCCCTCCTCCCTCGGACCCAGGAGTCCCGACCCCCAGCCCCCTCCTCCCTCAGACCCAGGAGTCCGGGCCCCAAACACCCGCTCCCTCAGGCTCAAGAGACCCCAAACTCACATCTCCCCCGAAGTCCGTCTCAGCAGGCGGACCTCCATTAAAATACCTGTGAGGGTCGGAGGTGAAATGTCGGGGAATCAAACAAAAGGCCGTGGATAACTAAAATCAAAGGGCGGGGTCGAGTTGCGGAAACCTCACTCACTCGATGGCCGGGAGAAGGTAGTGCTTGCGGAGCCCCTCGAAGTAGGGTCCCAGGTTGGCCGTACCCTCAATCACAAACACCACATCGGCCACTAGGCCCCCGGCGCGGGCCGGGCCGTCCGACCCGGGGACCATTCCCCTCGCGACAGCAGCCACCGCCGCCCCAGCCACAGCAGGATGAGCGGAAGTCCGCCCGCGCTGCGCGCGCACCCGCACCGGACGACGTCGTGCCGCTGCCTACTCGCAGGCGGCCATGTTTGTGTGGGGTACCCAGGGAGGTTTGTTCTAGCTTCATCCTCATTCACTCCCACCGCGTGGAAGGTTCGGGAAGAGCAAAATGAGCCCCTTCAAAGGCCTGACGGAGAAGACTGAATTATTGTCAGGACTGTCCAGAGCGAAATAAATTGAAAGCGGCACAGTCGGCCGCCATCTTTGAGCGGGGCGCCTGTTTCCGACTCTCGTCTCAGAGGGAGGGTCGGGAGACCTGGTTGCTGTGCAACGAATACGCTGCCCTTGTTTTCTAACAGAGAGATTAAGTTTCTGGTTGTGTTCTTCCTGTGATGGGGGAGGGACGTGTGACGGTCCAATCACATCGTCCGAAACGAGGTTTCCAGGCAACGCTTTAAGGTTGCAGTCAACTTGGGTGTGCCTCTGTTTCCCCACCCCGACCCCCGCCCCCAAAGAAGCCGACCTGCGACCCAAGTGGAGGTTGCTAGGCAACACTTGATAGTTGTTTTCTGCGGGAGAAGCCAAAAACTGGCCTACAACTTAAATACATTCTTGGTGGATTAAAAATGTAAATATGACAGGAAACCTTAAAACTACCTGAAGGAAAAAGAAATACTTGGTATAACCGTGGGTGCTGGAATAGAGTATCAGCGTTACAGTAAAGCCCTAACACACAAAGACTGCGTAACCAAGTTGAAAATGAACGATAAACTGGGAAAATCTTTGTAACAAATGTGTTGACAGAAATTTACTGCACAAATAAATCTTACTCATCAATAATTTAGAAAAATGGAAATTATTTGGGGAGCAACGTGAGTAGGCTTCCCCCTTCCCCCGCCACACAAAATTTTAAAGGCCGAAAAACATCTGAAAACTAATTATCTTCACCAGTTAAAAAGTGCTAACAGAGGGCCGGCCCGTGGCTCACTCGGTAGAGTGCGGTGCTGATAACACCAAGGCCACGGGTTCGGATCCCATATAGGGATGGCCGGTTCGCTCACTGGCTGAGCGTGGTGCTGACAACACCAAGTCAAGGGTTAAGATCCCCTTACCGGTCATCTTTTAAGAAAAAAAAAAAAAAAAAGTGCTAACAGAAAGCCCAATTATGATATAGCATTTTACCTTTGTTATGTTAATTACTTTTGGAAAGAATATCAATAAGGGTGGGAAAGATTGGGTGAAATTACCAGGGCTAACTTCTAGTGGGATATTGTCCAGTGGCAGTATGGGTCAGGACAACTGGCCCCATAACAGTCTGGCAATATATTTTAAGGCAAAAGGGTTCATTCCCTTTGAATACAGCAGTATCACCATTTTGTCACATTTACTTCATCCATCCCTTTTCTCCTTCCTTTTCTTTGCTGAAGCATTTTAAAGCCAACCCCTAAAGTCATATCATTTTTTTTTTTTTTTTAAAAAGATGACCGGTAAGGGGATCTTAACCCTTGACTTGGTGTTGTCAGCACCACGCTCAGCCAGTGAACGAACCGGCCATCCCTATATGGGATCCGAACCCGTGGCCTTGGTGTTATCAGCACCGCACTCTCCCGAGTGAGCCACGGGCCGGCCCTAAAGTCATATCATTTTATCTCTACATGATTGGCAGGCATCTTTTAAAATTTATGGACATTTTCTTACATAACTGACATGCCGTTATCACTCCTAACAAAATCAACGTATTTCTAACATGGACTGGCTGGTTAGCTCCATTGGTTACAGTACTGTGTATAACATGAAGGTTAAGCGTTCGGATCCCTGTACTGGCCAGCTGCCAAAAACAACGAAATAAAAGACAGGACAACAAGAAATGTAAAAGATGGTAGAAATAAAGACAAACATAACAGTAGTCAGAATAAATTTAAATGAACTAAAGAAAAACTGTATGAACCAACAGGGAGAAATTGATATTTTACTTTTTAAAAAAATTATTTTATGCATCTGTTTCTTCCCCTAGAACTTTGCTAACATATGTCAATACAGGATTGGGCAAATCAATTTGTTACATCCAGAAAATAGATTATAAAAAGACATTAAAAAGATGAAGTAGATGTATACATATACACACATATATTTTGTGTGTGTGTGTGTGTGGCGGCTGGCCGGTATAGAAACCGACCCTTGGGCCGGCCCGTGGCTCACTCAGGAGAGTGCGGTGCTGATAACACCAAGGCCCCGGGTTCGGATCCCATATAGGGATGGCCGGTT